TTGGCAGAAACAGGAAGTGAACCGGAAGTGCCCGGGAAACTTGTCTATAAAACCTGTTGCTCTGTTTCCTTTTAGCACCGAGGGCATTATGGTTAAATGTCTTGGATGTCAGAGCTGTAAGATGACAACAGACGGCCGTCTGTCTAAGTGTCTACGATCAGGTCATGATAACCGTTGAAAAGGCAGGTTGGTTGCTGCAGCTACGAGGCGATCTAAAAAATGCTGGCACGTTTTTATTGTTGATGAGCAGCCTCAGTGTTAAGAAAATTGACTCTTTAGGAAGATTCTACCAACCCTTCAAAATAAGAGTTTTCTCTTTATTCATCTTTTACACCTTAACTGCCTAAATCACAAACTAACTAAATTCAGTAAAGCTAACTACGCTTTCCTGTTATAAGTTGCACAGAAGATCTCCTGTGTCCTAAAGGTGACACCATAAACAACAAATACAAGCGTGTGCGTGCGTGTGTGGGTGCACAAGTTTTCAGCAAGAACCAGAGGAAGGTTGAGGGGGTTTGGAGCAATGTGTGCGAGGAGAATCAATTTAAATACAATCAAAAGTTAAGGGGGATTAACGCTACTGTGATGAGATAGCACACTTAGAATGGTTTAAAATAGCTGCAGAGATTACACTAATGTAATCCAATTTAAAGGAGCCTTCCCCAAATATTTATTATTGAAGCACCATCTGTTAGAAGCCTGTGGGGTCAGTGCCATAGTCGTTTTTACACCAACAAGGCTTTTTGTTGTCCTACATTCCTCCCTTTACTGTCTGTCAAAAAGTCTGGCAATAACCTCCTTTTTTTTGGTTCAACCAAAATCTTTGTTCATCGACTTCTGTCCTCATTCGAAATCAAGGAATCTGGAACACTTGTTTGTCACTTGTTAAAAAAAGTCAAACTTTTGGTCATCCAGAATATCCAGAATAATGAACGATATTATAAAAAAAAATACAGAAATCTGCCGCTTGGATAATGTATTATTACGGTAGTTTTAAGCCTTTGTTGTTGCTGCTCTGACACAGATCCCAGATCAGCACACACAACACATGCTGTAGAGATCAGACCAGCTGTGTTACTACCAACAACAACAACAACAACAACTCTCACTAGTACTCTCTCACTATCTTAAGCTTCAGCCAAGGATCAGATTTAACCTTCATTTAAACTTCCTCCCCTCCACTTTTTCCCATCGATACAACAAGGTGGATCTGTCGCTTTAAACATTTTTTTTTTTTTTAAATGCCCGGATAATCGAGAGCGACAACAGGGTCCACAGGTTAAAGGTCAGCAGCTGGATGCACTTTTCAAACTACCGAGGGAGACTTTCAAGGTATGTAGAGGCACAAGAAGGTATTTTAACACAACACATTTTCTGTAACCTCAAATTTGAGACTTTTAAATGTCTTCCTTGGTCTCGCATAGAGCTGCAACGCTTCAATCAAGTTGACTACGTTGATTGTAAAAGATTGTCGACGACCCAGCTGCTGACCTTTAACCTGTGGACCCTGTTGCTCTAGATTATCAGGGCTTTGATCAAAGCAACAGGCCCACCTCATATCGATGGGGAAAAGTGGAGGAGCGGAGGTCTAAACGAAGAGTATATCTGAACCTCGGCTGAAGCTCCAGAGAGAGAGAGGGAGGGGGGAGAGATTACTCTGGGAGATAGAGTTGGGCTTGTTAAAGAGGATCAGTTTATCTTCACAGAAGCTCCCCGAGGGCATCGAGAGAGGGACTGACTTTTTTTTTATCCTTCATTCGATCACAGCAGAATTAGATGGCCTTGTTAGACATGCAGATCTCATGTATTTCAACAATGAACCAGATGCACGTTTATGTTTGGACACACCTGGCCGGCCCTCTTTTTCTACACACGGCCAACCGCTGTCGCTTCAGTTCACACTTGATGTATTCCTTCGTTGAGTCGTATATTCAGAGATTGGTGATGAGAAGATTCCCACTGCGCTTTTATCTCCCATCTGTTTTCTCCTGTGAATGCGCTGCCCCTTATGGGTGGTTCACGGTACTACAATATACTCATTGGATCTGTTTTTTAAGCAGCATTGTCCAATACTGAAACCACATTTTCCAAACTCTTCACACATTCAGCAACACACAAGTGTGTGCGGACCAAACTGAATCATTTCAGACAAAATGCATTCAATCACCACATTTTTCAAAATCTACAAAAAATGTTGTCAATGCTCCACAAACTACTACATACAACTACATACTTGCAGGATATTTTTCATATGCGCACTGCTTTTTTTCATAAGTGCATCAACGCACTGCTTTCAAAACTGATAAAAGCACATTTCAGAATGATGACACATTTAAACATTTCTGCAGTAATTATTTTTAAATATAGAAAGTAATAATAATTCCAAGCTAATTGCAATTTCAGCTCAAAGCCAACCCAGGTGTCCTGATTTAGACTCATTACCATGTATCAGTGAAAGGCGATCGCTTGGAACTGATTTTGTTTGGAAATATGGACATTGCCATTGCAATAAAACTGCGGGAAATTCGGGATTGAGTGCTGGCAGATGATATCACTATGTTAATATGGTCAGCACATCGACAATTGCGAGAGTCCCAGAGACACATGAAATAAGGATGAAGCAACACTGTACACTTTGTGAGAAACTACGGTATCAGTATGTCCAGGTAGAGATGTCTGGTCAATAACCAAACAGAGTACATACATATGCAGTTATGCATAATGTAAATTACTGTAAAACAGTGTCATTTCGAGGGTAGAGGAGATGGAAGCCAGCCGCACGCCACATGCATTTATCTTTGTGGATGATACAATACAATACAGAGAGGCTTGTTTCTTTATAATTCCTGTCTCCATACCTTCTTAAACCCCATAGAGGAGTTTCTCTCAGCATGGAGGTGGAAGGTTTGTGACCATCATCCACATGACCAGGTGACTTTACTGGAGGCAATGAATGCGCAGTGTGGAGACATCTAGATTAGACATTCCAGGAGATACTTTTCAAGATGCATCAGATGTGATCCCGACGAGAACCAAATGCAAGAGAGAGGGAGGACTAGAACCTTCACAGGACTTTATAATGAGAGATTAGAGTACATGTGTTGTTCATGTGTTTTTTTTTTACCGATTTCAAGTATTTTCACAAATAAAGAAAACAAATGCTAGCAATACTTGTTAGCAATTAAAAAGAAACCTGTACCTCCTTGTGGCCCGGCTCTAGACGTGCATCACAGGGTCGACCCTCCTTTGATTAGTCATCGCAGGTCTGTGCGCGGCCGGCAGCCTGCCCGTTTTAATTGCTTTAGCTTCTGAGACTACGCCAATATTTCACAGCATGGCTGCCCTGCAGGAAGGAAAAACACAACAAAAAAAACTGCCATTTTAAAGAGAAGAATCCAATTAGCAGATATAAAGCGTGGCTCGGCTGAACGGTCGCCTTTGGTAAAATGTAATTAGGACAGTTTACTGAGTCTACGTATCATATCTAAATCCCCTTTATTGGAAACTTTTTGTGATGCTTTAGTTATATTTTTTTGTTTTATCTTTGTTCCTTCTGAAGGATTTAAATGTTCTTTATACCCATATCCACATCTTTAACTGTCTGTCTGTAGCCAACCACACACACACATTCCAGATGGAGACAGACACGGATTAGTGAAGATTTTCCTTCTTTTAATAAACAAATGATTGACACAGTTTTGAGGATAAACCTGTTCAAAGAAATAAGAATAGTCTGTAATGGAGAGACTGCGGGGTATTATCCCACTTCATTATGGAACACCGTTCACATGAAGAACTCTCATCAACCTACAGAAAAACCTGATCCTTTGTGATTGTGTCTCCGGTGCGCAATATATATTAATCAGCATAAACCGCCTGTACAACACTTTATGGCATTACACAACCAGCGCGTTGATGTAGACGCAATGACAACCTCATCCTTACATGGCCTTTTTTCTCAGTTACATAATTGTTACTGCGGACACAAGCCGGTTTCACAATAGCTGCTGCAGATGAATTCGGAGCACTAACGAGATTTGTGAGGCAAAAACTACGTTTCAAATCGGGGGGGAGGGGTATGCTATGTATTATGCATGAAAACCCGGCTGACATGGTGAGAGCAGGAACGATGGGGATGATAAAGATGTATTCATTTCACGCATGCATGTCCAATAGGTCTTTACTGCTGAACAGTGACGTGAGGAAATGTTTATTGTTAGACAAGGAAAGACTTTTTTGCATCGATGTCTCACAGGCTTTGACATCTTATCATGTGTTGGTGATAAAAGCATTGCCGTGGATTTTTCTGCGGACAGATTTATCTGCCCCACTCTATGATTGGTAATGCTCAGGCAGACATTCCTCCACTTTATCTTTTAAATTGCGTCACTGCTAAAGTACACTTTCCCAAAGCAGCTGGCGAGGTGTTAAACCCTTAAGTAACACGGCTGATCTGAAAAAAGGTCATAACACTGAGAACTCCACCAACAACAAGAACGTGTTTCCTATTTAAGTGTGATTATTAACTTTGCCGTGCGTATGTATATAACACTCCTGTGTTTTGGAAAGGGGAAAAAGCTTTGGTACATGACTACAAAAAGCAGCACCTTTCTCAAGACACCATTTGTAGCATAACATCACATCCGCATGTTGTATAGTGTCCTATGGAAGACAATCTGTTGCTCACATGATGGATGCCTCAGACTCCACAAGCTGGCTGGCTTGCATGATGCGATGAATTCAATGTGAAGAGACTTGCCGATCTTGATTTATTGAATGTAAATGCCGTTGCCATGATGATGATGATGATGATGGCAGTGACGGCAGCGTTGGAGGCGGAAGGCACCTTGTGTCAGACCATATCCATGTCTTGCTGAGCTCCTTTGCTCACGTGAGGTGATAGGATTTGGTTTGGGATTGTTGAGGGATTAGTCAACAGGATTTACCAGATTCAGAAAGTCAAAAATTAAAGGACACGAGTGGCGCAGCGGCTGGGTCACATGGTCCCGGGAGGTACGGGACGAGGACCGGGTCCCTGCAGCAAACCTCCTATGTAAAAAAAGAAGAAGTGTTTTCTGCGCTTAAACCACGCACACGCATGTTTCTGCTCTTTGCGTGTACGCCCAGCCCCGCATCCAATCACCTAATTCTCCTGCCTCTGCTAGCTGAGAGTGCAGAAGAGAAGGAAGGCGTGCCTGGCTGAACAGATGTGGAGATTTCAGCTGCCTGGCTGTATACGGATCATAACGCTTGCTCTCTTTCCCTGAGTACTCTCTTTTATGTCAAATATCTGCCCTCTTCTCCCAGTCGAGCGCACGAGGGACACTCACCGTTTTTAGCTCTGGGAGGATTTTGTGGAAAAAATACTGTTTTCTTTGCCTGACTTTTTTTAAATTCACCGTTCAAACTGGAGACGCAGGTGAACTACGACTGCGGGGATCAGTTGATCCAGCTTCAGCTCTCTGGTTCGGGTGATTGGACACCCTGTGAGTTGGATATCCTCCCTTTTGATTTATTCTAATATCCTGTCGTCTAATATAATATAATATAAATATAAATGAGCATTTTCTTGTTAGTTGCTTTGTACTTTCTTTGAGTTAGAAAGCTTAAACCCCACATGCATATGGTTGTATTTTTTCTTACAATCCAAGCTTTAGATACACAAACGGATCAGGTCGGGAAACCTCTATAGCCCCGTGCAGCTACGTGTGTAACCCTTTTTGGATCATCTGTAAAATGCATGGCTATGAAGCTGTACTTTATCATCAAATACCAACGCAGGTTTATTTAGATTTAACGCTGAAGTACGTGTCTGCTTCTCTCGGCTTCCCTGTGATTTGAGTTTTACCTCCGTGGTCCAGTTAGTCAAATAATAAAAGGAGCCAAAAAAAACTCACGATTCCCTACACGTGAAAGACGTGTTGGGAATCGACTGATCCTGAGGTTACAATTTCTTCTTGTTTCTTCTGTCTGAATATTTTCAAACAAAAATGTATCCACCAGAGTAAACTTCTGTGTCATTGATTTGCTAAACATATGCAAGAATGAGTTCTATTATATATTATATATTTGAAAGTTGGTGGGACAAAAACTATAAATCTCAAGACAAGCAAATCTTGTGTATGCACGTAATTGAAGATGACCATTTCCTGTGTGGTTATTCCAGGTGACACCAAGGAGGTGGAGATCCCCATAGGAGAGATGGAGGTGGTCAAGGGCCAGATGGTGGTGTTACATGCTTGGTACAGCCCCAACTCAGACATTTCCAAAAACTCTGTGGTTTGGCTCTTCACGGGAAAGAAATCCAAGCAGGTGAGGAGGTCAAAACGTAAGTCTGCAATGATCTGCTGTACAGCTGACCTGATGTCTTTGGACAAAAAGGATTAATATAAACAGTGTGTTTGCTAATCCTACTATTTCTGTATGGTTATAGTGTTATACCTTTAAAACTAAGAATAGGACCATACCTATTTTCTAGCTATATTGTTTTTCTAGAAAAAAATCTGGGAATTTCTAGATCTGCTTTCCAGTTTTCTAACATTTAATTTAATATCTTGGAATGTAAACTCTTTGTACCATTTTTCACTTTCTTTTTTGAATGGATCAATTTGTCACAAAAATTATTGGCAGACACATTGGTAAAGAAAATAATTGTTGGTTGCAGCCTTGCAAAGAATAGTAAAACTATTTAAGTATATGTATTATATATCAATTCGGAAATGTGTTAAAGAAATGCTTATTCATCTACTGAGCCTGTATCACCTATGAACAGTACGTATTTTTTCTATAGCAGGACATGTACAGTAAATATGATGATAAACTCAGTGATGTGTAAAATAATCTGTAGAGATTACACTTGTTTAATTCACAGTGGATGTAACGACGGATGTTAAGGAAAAGATGCCACTAATGACCTGCCATTTCTTTTACTGCACCTCCTAAACATGACACAAATTTCTGGTGAAACTCACCTACATATTTGCACGTACTCTGCGTGTGTGTGTGTGTGTGTGTGTGTGTGTGTGTGTGTGTGTGTGTGTGTGTGTGTGTGTGTGTGTGTGTGTGTGTGTGTGTGTGTGTGTGTGTGTGTGTGTGTGTGTATGTGTGTGTCTGAGTCTGTAGGGTCTTTGCATGATTAATATAATCTATACAATTTCAGTTTCCGTTGCCTGCAAGCTTATCTCAAAGGGAAAATCTGCCTGAAAATTCAACATCCATCATCTGTACATGTCAAGATTATCTTCATGAAGGGCTGTGATTTCTGTTATATGGTTAATCTGCACATCTTCATACGGCCACAGTCTAAAATGGTACCTTCTTTTAAAAGTGTGTTGTATTTCATATAATGTCTATCGAATTCGAATCTAATTCAGAGTACCAATTATTAACGGGTGAAAGGAAGCCATCTTTGATGTCGTCATCGGATGTGTTTGTTTCTTCTCTGCTCAGGTGATAAACTTCAGCGCGGGCGAAGTCGGGCACGGGCAGAACGAGTTCACCAAAAGAGTGGGCTTCAGTGCGGCCATGCCGTCGGCCAACCTCTCCATCTACATCAACAACACCCAGGAGTCCGACTCAGGGCAGTACATGTGCTCTGTCATCATCCCTGGCAGTTCTGGCATTTTCGGACAGATGCACTTAAATGTCAAAGGTAAAACGCCACATCGTCAGCGGAACTCCAAAGGTCAGGTTTAATCCGAGCGGTGTGCAACACACACACGGTTCCTTGGATTGGGAAATTCAGGCAAAGTAAATACTTTCTGAAGGATTTCAGATCCAGTCTGTTAAATATGATGTATTCATGAAAGCAAGCAATGTCCAAATATTCATCCACCGTTTAGGGATTCACTTGGCTCTGAAGTCATTATGTCATCATCCAGCAGCAGATGGAAACAATGCGGGGTCAAAACATTTTCTTATTTAATGCAATATGGCTGCAGCCCAGAGAAAAATATCCACTTGTTTTTACTGTGGATTAAAGTTCCTTATAAGCTTATAGGTCCTTTTGTTTTTATTTTAACAGTCTCTCTCTCTCTCTCTCTCTCTCTCTCTCCAGTCCCCCCTTCTCCCCCGGTGTGCAGCATGACAGGAAGCCCAGTGGTGAAGGGCAACGTGACTCTGAGCTGTAAGTCCAGTCATGGAAAACCTGTCCCTCACTACAAATGGACCAGGGCTGCACCCATGTCTGAGGTCTTCTTCGCCCCAATGCAGAGTGGGTATTTTTTCAGCATATAACCAGGATGTTAACGCTTATATTTCAATGGTCAAGTTACAAAAAAACGGTTTACTTACTGTGAGTATCAACATAATTTGAGTTTCAATTGTTTCCCATCCGGATACCTTTTTGGAGGGTTGTGATGCTTGCAGCTTTAAAAGAAATGCAATTTACAGTTGTTTCTTCTTTCTATCATAGAAATAGTCCCTACAAAAACTCATTTAAATCCTGTCGTTACAACAACAATTAAGCTTAATGAGCAGCAAACTGTGGTGTAGAGAAGGATTCTTTTCCCCTGGATTTTGACTCCGGTTCCCTTGAAACACAGGCTGAAAAAAGTGTTTTCACTTTGCGCTGCATGAAGACATGATAAGTACTTTCACTTTTATTGGTACTTTCTTGTAATCTAGATTCATTTAAATGCATACTAAGGCAGATTTTGATTTGACTGCAAAGTTTGTTTCTGTTTTGGGGGAGCTGAAGAACACGTAGGCGGAAAATGTGTCACGTTTTTACCCATTCAAATTGTGTCGCCTTGGAGAGAGAAAAGGCGTTGAGAACAACTTTTATCTTTAGTAAGGTTTATTGCCAGCCAGCCCCAACCGAGATATGTGTCAGATTGGGTCAGAAATGAGAGCAAGATTATCTGTAAGACTTTTATGTGCAGGTCTAAATGTCACACACCTTCCTGCTGTCCATAACACCTGCAGATGCAGATGATGTTAAATCCTTGTCAGGACACATTCTGAATACAAGGCCCAGACGGTGAGACACTCCTGATAGGAGCCTCAACATGCTCCTCGCACAGAGTGCGTCCATTGTCGCATTATTAGGCAGATGTTTGTTTCCAGATGACGCTGCATAAAGCAGCACCATCTGTTTCTGAACAATGGGACTTAGCCTGATGCATTGAGTATTGACTTAACTGCTTTGATCTTTGGCCCCTATCACTTTATGGCAGAAAAGTCCCCGGGCTTGGAAATGTACTTCCTATGATTGACCCAGGTTTTTTTCTAATGCAGTACGCGTCAAACGCACATGTTCACCCTCTTGCATGCCATCGGCACTTCAGACACCCATCTTTTGTATCTGCCCTACCTGAAGTATGCTCTGTCCATGACTCTCCATGACTCGTCTCTGACTCCGCAATCTCTGTCCCTCTCTCTCTCTCTGTTCGTTTTCCCTCCTGGCTGATCCTCTTTCTGCACTCCTTGTTTCCGGTTGACCGTGGTGCCTAATCTAACAAGCCCCATGTCATAACTCAATCAACCCGTCAAAGAGGCATAAGTTGGATTTGGGACTTCACTCCAACCCCTGCACCATCCGTTTGTACCACTCCTTCCCTGCCTCTCATTAACGCTTACTCACTCTCTCTCTTTGCCATCTTTCCTTCTGCAAAAAGAATGGAGAGTCTGTCCCCAGCCCATGCTTGTCCTTGGGTTTATGGGTAAGGGTTTTCACTCACACATTTTCCTCTTATTTCCTTCAACTCCCATCCCACCTCCTGCTGTGACACCCCGAGGAGTCAACGTGTCACTCCTCAAATCATAGCCAGCAGCGGCAGGCGGAAAACAAATCAACCCAAGTTGTATGAATTCCTTTAGAATTATGATTAAAATGAATACACCAACCTTAAATATTTTCAAATTCCTTGCACATTTATTGTATGAATAATGTGGATGTTAAAATTCTCCATGAATAGCAGTAGTTTACCCTGACTGTAATCTAGAACAGCTGATTCGTAATGGAGGAAACAAATCCTTATCAAATCCATGACAATAAATTGAAATCTGAATATATTTACATTTTGTAAAAGAAGGGTTGAATTTGTACTTTAGATTTTTGTGCTTTGTGTGTGTTAGATTTAGCTGTTGTCCTATTGAGTCATCTTTTTGAGCTAAAGGACATGATAAGCTAACAGTAAAAATCCTTTTCAGGGCTGAAATGATTATTCATTGGTAAAAGAAAATAATAATTCAAAGGGATAGTTTGTCAAATTTCTTGCTGAGAGTTAACTAGTCACGTTTTTTAGTTAAATTAGCGTATCAATAGCACTCATTTATGTACAGTACATTGGACAGCAAGCTAACTTAATGGCAGTTGAGGGAATTATATACTGAATTCATTTTCTGCTTCATTTTTCTGTGTGTTTTTACATTAATGATGAAAAGGAATCTATTTCAGCTCGGACGTTGCATGTCATCTGAGAAAGATGACATATATACGTGATGAGCTTCGTATACGCTCATCACGTGTTCATGGGTTGGGGCTTAAACCATCGCCGCTCGGTGACCTTGCAGCGCCGGCGCCGCAATATGAGCCTTTCATGAAATGAGGTGGCCTGCTCTGTGATGTCAGGTCGGCCACTGGGTTGTGATGGCTGCCGGGCTTGAACACGCTCCAAGCTCCCAGTCAGCCGATGTCGGTCCAGCTGCTTATCCGTCAGAATTGGGTTTGGTTCTTCACAGCTGGTTTTCAAGCCAGGGGATTAAATAATCAGAGCGGGATAAGTGCATATCACTCTCATCTGCGACTGTTTTATTTGGCACCCGCTTCTGTTTTGATTTCTGAGGAAGGTTTTTAATACTCTGGTCAAAAGGTTAACAATAAAGGGATGATCCGATCATTCAATCGTGTAACTTTCACGTGGTCACAGTATATGATCATATTTACTCACCAGACCGGTAAGCCTCGTGAGCAGCAAACTATAATTTATCATTTCTGACTTTTCCTTGTTAGGACAGATCTACAGTACTTCTCTCTACTGGGGGGGAGGGCTGGTGTGTATGCGCCTGCCTGTATTAACCTTGCCCCCGGTTGTGCAGCAGCAGATGGTGCAGACAAAACAAGAAGCTCAGTCCACCCAACACCCAAACTTTGGGAGGAACAGAGCGGTTTGGACGCAATGCCCGTTGAGGATGACACAAGGCTCCCGCGTTAAAATGTTGCTTGGTGGCACAACGTGACCCTTGACATTTTGTCCGGGATTATTTGAATGATTAACTCGGAGTGTGCCAGAAGTGCATGATCCTTAAAAGACCCCGACCCATCCACGCAGCCCACGGCAACCTTGATCCTGCAAAACAGGCGCACACACACAAATCCCATTTGCTCACGTTCCCCACGAAAGCAAAAAAAAAAAAAAACGCATCACACGAAAACATGCTGGGACATGACATCTGAGATTGGATTCCAGAGGATTTGTTGTGATAAGTCCCTCATGAAGTTTGTTTTTTTCCTACAGCATGTGTTTGCATCAATACAGCATTTCAAGGCCATGTGCTCAGAAGACCAGATTGTGTTAAATGGAAATATGGAAAAGTTGAGATGGATGCGTGCACACACACCTTGGAGTGAGAAGATATTAAAACAAAAACTGCTGACAAATGTCATGAATCTATTGCATCTGCATATGTGGGCAAGTAGTGGATTCAGTTCTGGATTATGAGTCGTAACTAATAATTCAACATGGCCGTAAATTGCACCCATTGATGGTATAATGATGCAGATCACTGCATATGAGCAATAGTCAAAATTCATTTTTCAGCAAGTGAATTAGGAATCCGTGTATTTATTTAGGCTATTATTATGTCACAGCACGGCTCTTGGACTGGGACAAGAAGGGGGGCGGTTTTGTTGGTTCTGTTCATGCGGGGGACTATGGATGCGCGAGAGGAACTTTTTTTGTAACCACTGTGCAGCTCGGATATTGACATTGGATTTGCCGTCGTACTAATCTGTAGCCAGTAGTGCAGAGAGTGTTTGAGTGGAAATGTGCTGCAACAAGAGAGGATGAATGTGTGGAGACCGAAAGGCCACCAAATGCACCGAGCAGAGGCGGCGTCGCGACTCACTTTTTTTTTTTCTTTCAAATATGCAGATCCACCCAATATAATAAATATGGTAATTCAACACAGCCAAAAACTAGCTGAACTCTCAAAAAGAAAAAAAAACTATTTTAAAAAAGGGACACGTTTTATTTGTCAATTTATTGATGTTAAATGGTGCTACGGTGGTTTTCCTTAAAAAATAAGATGTATGAGAGGGGTTGATACGGACATAATCTCAACATTAGGCTCTTGCTTTAAGGTTGTTTCTTATTTTTCCAATATAGTTCCCGAGTGTGTGCTATTGTGGTGTAGCTGCCTTGTGTATATCTCTAGTTCTTCCAAGCCCTCTTGCACAGATCCCATAAATACATGATGTGTGACTTGTGTGTGTAACTGTGCGGTTGTTTCGCAGATGAGAGACACGGCACCCTGAGGCTGAGCAACCTCACTAAAAGCATGTCGGGGAAGTACATATGCCGAGCCAGCAACACCGCCGGCTCCGACAGCTGCTCCATTAACCTGGAGGTTATCACCTGTAAGCACACAGTATTTATACCGCGCTACGCCCCGAGTGTTCCTCACACACACACACACACACACACCTGTGACTCCCATTAGGCGTTAATCCGGATCTGTGATGTGCTCCCCAGCTTCTAATGCAGGCATGATTGCAGCAGCTACGCTGGGGTCGATAGTGGGACTGGTGGCCATGGGGCTGTTCCTCATCTTCATACTGAGAAGGAGAGGGGACACTGAGGAGGAGATGGCCAACGAGATCAAGTGAGCATTAAAACATTCACTGTAGGGGCGGCGCTTTGTTGAGTCCACCTGTGCAGTTTAATACCATAAAAACCTTCTGTCTTTGGGCACATTGAAATATGCAAATTCAGTTCATGGTTAAAAGGTGTCGTACTGGACGACATACTGAGCGGTTGTTTATATATTAGATACAATACATTGTAAACATTTATATGAATTAACACATTTATGATGCTAGGTGTGTGTGAGGGAATCATGTTCACAATCTTTATTTATTTGGGGCACCACCAGCCAAAAGTATCAATCCGTTAAATTCAATAGTGAATATTTTTTTGCATTTTTCCTTTTATTTTGTATAAAAAGCGGGGTGTCCACGCCTCCTCATTTAACAACTCCAGTTGATCCCACGAAACCTAATGAGTACTTCTACTTTTTATAGTTCCATTTGCTGACCGTACATTTACACAGAACATTAAACATTTTTGTCAGTACTCGACGTGAGTGTAAAACACAGATGGATGTCCGTCACCATATTTCCTCACCGTCATCTTTTGAGGCTCATTTTCCTGAACGAGATTCCGCCTCCTCGGCTTTGCTCTCCGTACCACAGGGAGGATGCTCAGGCGCCAAAGCGAGTGTCGTGGGCAAAGAGCAACACCGGCTCGGACGTCGCATCCAAGAACGGCACGCTGTCCTCCATCGCCACCAGCCCGCGACCTCGAGACCCCCACCAGGCGAACTTCCACTACCCATACTCCCCCACGTCGGCCTCAGACACCGGCTCGGTGATCAACGCCTACCAGCTGCGACCCGGGGAAGCCGGCACGCTACAAGGACTCCCCGGCTACAACGCCGGCGGCACCCCGTCGCGCAAACACAAGCGGCCCTCCAGCGCAAACGGGGGCCCCCCGCAGCTTCACCGGACCCCCGCGGTGGCCGTCCCCATCAGGACCGAAGGGGCTCAGCCTCAGGTGCCGCCCCCGTCAGCGGCGTCGCCGCAAATCCGCCCGTCCACTCTGACCCGCATGGGAGCGGTGGCTGTCATGGTGCCTGCTCAGAGCCAAGCCGGCTCGCTGGTGTAGGCCGGCAGGGGGGGCAGTGGGGACAGTGGGGGGGGGGGGGAAAGTATGCCTTGAAATTGAAAGCACCTTCTCCACGAAACGCCTGAATGGTTGTGAGAGAAGACGTCTCGCCGGTCGCTTTGGATTGATAGTCTCATTTCTATTTTTTTTTTTGTAAGATGTATATTTGTATTCCCAAAAGGATAATATAATAACTGATCAAGAGAGTTGTTTGAACTGAATACAGTGTGTCTTGATACTGTAAAACCATAAAGAAATGTTTGAGTTTTTGCAGTTCTTGCACATTATAATGCCGTTTAAGGATCACTTCACTCACTTCTCTCAGGCCAACTGCACCAGTTAAATATCACACTTCAGGTATTTCAACTTTCATTTTGTCACTTTCTTTGACCCACTTACAGTTTGCCCATATGGTTTCTTGACACCCATGTCTTCAGAGAACATTTATGATAATTTTGCCTGTTATGTTAGTTGGAATGTAACAAATAGTGTTGAAGTTGATGGTTTCTTTCTATTTTGTTCAAAGGTGCTTGGTATAGAATGATGTTACTTTAAACGTGAGGCCATTTATCAATGGGATAATATTGGACCAACCCCTCTGCTGATGGTCTTATTGTTTTCATTGAAGTATACTAAAATCTGGAAATGTGTTGGTGAGTTATTGAGGTTGAAAGGCTATATGTAGCACTTTTAATGCAGTTTTGATTGTTGATCATTTTTCAATAAAAATGTTTGCGTCCAGCAGGGCCGGCTTATTGCCTCCTTTATAACTCATACAAACAATTTGTAAAAAATGTACATCATTCTCAGTTTAGTGGGATTCAGGGTGCCAATAAAAAGGCCAATTCATTTTATCAAAAGGTGAGATTATTTAATTTGGAGTGTTAGATAACACACACAACCCATTTATTGCTGTAACAGTGCACCAGTCATGTAGGGAAACAAATAACCATGAATATAAATAAGATCTAAAAGGCCACAAAGGACACGGCGCTGCTGAGACTGCATGTCGTTATGGATACGTAATATACAGTTGGGTAAACATTACCTATTTTTATTAACACTAATGGTGGTGTTAAATCCTTCTAGAGAATGTTCATCACATCACAGGAAAATGTTTTGATGAAAAATCAAACCTTCTCTAAACTATTAATGATAATGATTTTGTGGATTGTTGCCTAACATGATTCCAGAGTAAGCTTTAGTCCCCCAAATCCAACGCTGCAGAGAGCAGTCACACGGTAACAAGCTAACGAAGACCATTAAGGTGTGGTCCTTCCTGAAGAGCCAGGAGGAGGACTCATCAGGACTCGGTCAGCAGATTTCGGGAAATGATCATCCTCATCACCTCATTAGTGCCTTTAGGGGAAAGAAATTAACAAAAAAAAAAAAAGGTGTCAAACAAACTAATTGTTACAAACCGGGCACGATACAGATGAAAGTAAGGGGAAGCCTCACCCTCAAGGATCTGATGTACTCTGATGTCTCGGACAAACTGCTGCACTGCGTAGTCTTTGAGGTAACCGTAACCACCGTGCATCTGGAGAGCCTGGTTGCAGATCTGTATAGTAATAAAAAGGGCCGTTTTAAAAGAAAAGGTGGAATAAGGACTGTTAACAACGGTCTTTCTTGCATCGCTCCGCATTACTCACGTTGAAGCACTCATCTGTGGCAAAGAGTTTGGCCATGGAGCAGAGAGAAACGGCATCAGGCCGGTTCCCCTGCAGCGCTGTTGCAGCTTCCCGCACCAAGAGGCGAGACGCCACCAACTTGGTGGCCATTTCTGCCAGTTGGAACTGAAGATACTACACACACACACACACACACACACACACACAGGGAGAGAAGGAATGATGAAATCAAAAAAAGTAACAGGCAGCGACTGTGTCTAAATGCTTTGAATGGAGCCTCGTACCTGGTTGTTTGAGAGCGTCTCTCCAAACTGCTTGCGCACTAACAGATGATCCCTCGCCAGCTGAACACAAGCGTGAGCCGCCCCGAGAGAACAGGATGCTGTTGGAAGAGTGTTTGGATGTAAACTGCTGATGGTTGGACTTCATGTGAAGCAACAACGGCCTCAGTGTGCCAACGTTAGCCGACACAACCTGACCCGGTAAAGTTAGCAAATTTGCCTTTTTTGATTATTGTAAAAAAAAGAAGAAAAAAAATGTAATTCCTCACATTGTTTCACTTTAAGTCAGCTTCCTTCAAACTGTCTTTACACGCAGGCACCATAACACTTGTTAAACAACGTGCACAAAAATACTGCATATATGTGTGTAAAGTTCATTCTCATCTGCTTACAAGACCGACTCATTTGAGTTTACAAAATAACTATATCTGCAAAATAGTCTATATTTTCATTTGAAAATGTCCATTAGTGTAATTCCAAACGTTTTCACTAGTTAAAGCCATACATCACATTTCAACTATTGCACAACACAATCGGAGCGTGTCTTCCTCCTCACCGATATTAATTCTGCCTCCATTCAGGCCTTTCATGGCTATGTTGAATCCCTGCCCTTCAGCACCGAGCCGGTTGGTCACTGGAACGGCACAATCCTCCAATATCACCGCCCTGGTCGGCTGGGAGTTCCAGCCCACCTGCAGAGCAGGTTAAAAAACTGCTGAGGAACCGTGACTTACTTCTGCCATCTAGTGGTTTTCTGCAAGCGCTGTAGCCGCAGAGCGAGACGGGTCGAATTCGACATCTATGACCTCTACCTTCTTTTCTTTCTTGCCAAAGTTGAGGCCCGGGGTCCCTTTCTCTATGACCAAGCAGGAGATGCCTTTTGGTCCTTTAGCTCCTGTTCTGCACATCACGACGTACACGTCCGTGTCTCCCCCTCCGCTGATGAAGGCCTGAGAGGTCACATGGAGACACGGCACGTTTCTGGCTCACCGTAGCAAAAGAGTATTTACAGCAACTTGCATTGACGGGTTTGCATATACCTTGGACCCATTCAGGATGTAGTGGTCACCCTTCAGCTGTGCAGTGGTGAGGAGTGAAGCAGCATCGCTGCCGCTTCCTGGGATCAGAGGTCACAGGTTCAATAGGTGGCAGTGCACGCACAGCAGAACACACTAAGAATTGTTCATTTGAAATATGTTTATACAAGTTTTCTTTCTTTTCCTTAAATCAATAATTTCCACGTGAAGACAGACCTGGTTCAGTGAGACAATAGGAAGCAAACTTTTCCATCGAGCAGAGATCTGGACAGAACTTCTGCCTCTGCTCCGTATTACCAAAAGTGTCAATCATCCAGGCACACATGCTGCAAAGAGGTGGAGCATACTGGCAATTTGCAAACAAATAGATAGAAAATACATATCACAGCTTTCATTACAGTGCCCATTATAGTAGCAAATGGTCACAATTACAATTTATTAACCCATTCATTTTCCCAAGATAAAAACACATTTCCAAAAAGGTTAATCGATTTAATTAAAGGTACTAATGCAGGTTTTAATGCAATAGTAGTGGTCTGTACTTGTGGATGCTGATGTAAGCGGTGGTGCTGACACAGCCTGTGGACAAGGCTTCAAAGATGACGGACGTGTCCAGCCGAGAAAGACCCGTTCCTCCAACATCCGGCTGAACATAGATCCCGCCGAACCCCAACTGGGCCGCCTTTCGCATGGTCTCTACTGGAAAGATTTCCTGGGAAATAGAAAAAAAATGTACGTACTGACTGATTTTGATGACGTGGAGCTAAACTTACACCCATTGGACATAACATGATATAGTACGAGATCAGCTCCAAATATATGCATCATGACGACAAGCGAGAGAGACTGCTCAGATATAAAGCTACGTCACAGTAATGGAATGATGTAGATGCAGAGGCGCCCTCCCATCAAGCCAACCATTGCACAAACATACCTTCTGGTCCCACTCCGCCATGTTTGGAGCCATTTCATTGGCTGCAAAGTTAAACGCCACTTCTTGAAACTCCTTCTGTTCATCTGTGAGTCCGTGAGCGGCTGTCAACAAAGAGCAGAGAACATATGCTCCACGTGGACGATGCAATACGCGCGCAGACACAGATCCAGATGTGCGTGTGCGCGTGTGTGTGTGTGTGTGTGTGTCTGGTTGCGCTGATATATATATATGCTAAAAGGTGGACACGACGTATTTGTATGTGCAAATATTTTGAGTGCTGTGGATGGACAAGACACCAGAACCAATGCTCACAGACGTTAGATTATTTAAATTTTAAATGATCCAACTGTTGGAATTCTCTAACGTTGTGCAACCTGACTAAAAAAAGAGGGGCGGTGCAAAACTAACCAATGACAGCGAACAACGCCAGAGGAACGTGTGTTATTAAAAGCCTGAATGTGCTGGTGTGCGTTTACTTGATCTTGTTCGATCCATAAAGTCGGAGGTTTGTGTGTCGGAGCGCAGTTTAAAAGTGAGGACAGGCAGCGGCTCTGTTATCCAACCGGCTCAGGTGTCGCCCGGTGCCTTTGACATGTTCTTTCATAACCCACATCTGTCGCCTTAAAGTCGTTCACTCGTTTTTCTGGGACTTACGGTCGACGCAAGAAGCGATTCCTCGTCCCGGAGGACTTCTGGTAAAGATGAAACGCTGCTTCCGGCAGAGGCTGGAGCCCAGTCTGACGATTCTCCCCAGAGCTCCGGCGGCCGCCATGTTTACCTCCACGGAGGTACCGAAGTGCTGCGATGACGGCGCGTGCTTCTCTTGTTTCGGGCGGTGCGGCGGCAAATGACATCACGGCGCATCAGCGCCCCCAGCTGGTGTGGAGGGCGGACGCGGACTCCCGTTCAATTAGCAGGGATGATAAATACGTTTTAAAAAAACAAATACAAATTATTTTATTTTATTTTATGAAAAACACAACAACAAACATAATTGATTTAGACTGCGGGCTTGAGTATCCGAGAACAAACGTCATCAGAAGCGGGATGAGCTGCGGCGGTTATCCCGACCAGAGTGAGGCAGCAGCGCGTTACACGCGTCTCCTCCGCCACAAGCGATGAAGTGAAGCAACTCAAAGGGGGAAGACGAGCAGCATTAGCCGGTTATCGTACGTCGTGTTATCCGCCCCGTGTCTGTCACAGAGCTGTCCTCTGCCCGCGTCTCTACGGGACGTTCCGCGACTGCCTCTATCCCGTTTGGGGATAGCTTTTAACCGCGCAAACGGCAGCAGGCCGAAAGCAAATCCAACGCACCCGTAGTTTTGTTGACGTCACGTGTCTTTTTTTTCCCGCGGGTTTTGATGGCTCGTCAGCCATCATACTTACCTGAGGAGCTCTTGTACAGGTACTTTTATCTGTTGAACGGGTTGTCTTCTTACCACAACTGCCGTGTGACCTCATCGCAAATGTGAAGCACTTTAGTTTACACGTGTTGGAAAAGTTTTAAAGCTAAATTAGTCTATGCGGTCAATACGATGGTACTAGTGAGGGTATTCTTCTCCATTTCAAGCGGACCTAAAATAAACGTTTGTTGTATATTTATCGTTTTAGGTGTATTAAACAAGTGTTCTCAGGCTTCTGTATTAATCAAACATCATAAAACTTCGGTCAGTCCACTGAATTGTATCTACTGAAATACAACATAAAATGCCATCAACTTGTTTATAGCCTCAGTGGAAGCTTTTCGCTTACTATTATTTTCTGTTTTAGGTGTTGAATTGTTCAAATACAAAACATGACATATAATAGGCCAAAAATGAATAGTTTTGACATTTGTTTAAAAATGTCTTTTCCTCCAAGTGCACATTAATACATATCGTTATATATTACTTTCAGAACATTTCATGGATTACATAACCAGACAGGAATTGCTTTGGTTATTTTCTAATCCAGCCTTAAATACCTGATAAAAAATCAAGTTCCGTCATATGTCGCAAACATGTTAGATGTTCCACATAGAACTGTTACCTCCCGTGTGAACAAGATGAATTGGATCATTAGATATCATCAACCCTGTTGTGTATTTGAACGTTTTAAACATGTTTCTCCAGAAACTGAGCGATGGCGCCAAAGACGAGGGCCAGAGTGAGCAAAAGATCCGCCACTTCAGGTGAGCAAACCAAGCTGCGGAGCAGAAGCCTCTTGCTCTGGTTGTTTTGCCTGAGATGCGATCATTGGCCCCAAAACCACAGGCCAAGACGATGACGGCGAAGCGGCCGGAGGGAAGAGGAAAGCTGCAGCTCCCGTCGAGTCTGCAAAAAACCCGGAGAGCTCAGCCGGCGCGCGGTGCTGCCACTGGCTGATGAAGTCTGAGCCAGAGAGCCGCTTCGAGAACGGCATCGACGTCAAGGTACGGAGCCCCACGTGCGCGGCCTGTTTGCTCAGTTTCTCCTGAACGCGAGTAGGCCTGAACTTGTCTGATGCACCTGGTGTCGCCCTGCAGTTCGGGATCGAGGAGCTGAAGGCTTTGCCTGATCAAACTGGCTGCTGGGACGGCGTTCGCAATTATCAGGTAGACCCATGAATTGGAATCCTGTAAAAAAAAAAAACATGTTTCCCTTTTTAAAAAGAAATAAGGTGGCATTAGGAAAAAAGGCTTTTTCAGATTTGCAGTTCTCCCCTGGTCTTGTGTCAAATGATAAAATTAAGTTTGGTTCCTCCGAATTATCACCCATCAGGCACGCAACTTTATGAGGCAGATGAAAGACGGGCAGCTGGCTTTCTTTTACCACAGCAACTGCAAGGAACCGGGGATCGCTGGAATCATGAAGGTACGTCTTCCCTCTGCTGATATTAAGTTATTCAGAGGATTTAAACAAAGGCATCATTTTCCAATGTATTCTTTTTTTCCCTCTAGATTGTGAAGGAAGCCTATGTGGACCACACTCAGTTTGACAAGAAAGATGTCCATTTCGATGCAAACAGTAAACCCGACAACCCCAAATGGAGCATGGTGACCTCATTCAGGAATGACGAGTACGATGTCAGATGATGGTAACTGAGCGTGGGGGGGTTTGATGATGTTCTCCTCTCTCTCAGGTGGACGTCCAGTATCAAAGGATGCTGAAGCGTTTTCTACCTCTGTCTGAGCTGAAAAAGTACCACCAGCAGCATCGCTCCAAAGGAGGGCCCCTGAAGGACATGGCGCTGTTCACGAGGGCCAGGCTCTCTGTGCAGCCCCTGACCCCTGGTGGGTGGAGGCACTTCTGTCAGCGTTTCAGTGGCGCGACTCGTTCTGAACCCTCGCTCTGTCTTTCTTTTCTTTCTTCTTTCTGCAGAAGAGTTTGATTTTGTCCGGAGTTTGGAAGAGGAGGAGCCTTTGTGAGGATTTGGACCAGAGGACCCTCGTTCTCAGCAGTGTGGCGTTTATGTTGTTTTGTTAAATATTTCAAGTGATTTTGTCAAATAAAAGAATGTACCTACATCTCTGAACAGTACAGAGCAAGTTTGTTTGACACCAGGGGCCTCATTTTTAAAGCCTTGCGTAGGATTTGCGTTAGAAGTGGCGAACGGATGAAACATAAGACGTGCGTACGCACAGAAATATTCAGACTTCCTTCCTGCACGTCCTACGCAGTTTTCCCTTAATAAATCACAATCACTTCTAAATGCAGCGCAGCTTTTGCGGCTTCATGTCACGCCCATAGTTGCCCTTATATAGTCTGTGGAAGGCCCACAAATTAATATTCATCGATTGCGAAATCATGACAAACACTGAGAGGAAAACGAAGAAACGTAACTTTACTCCGTGTGAAGTGGAAATTATCATTGGGAGGTGGAAAAGAGAAGTAAAATGCTTTTTGGAGGGCACAGTATGGACATTACTAATGCCAAGAAGGCACTCGAGTGGCAAAAGGTTGCAGAGCAACGCTGCAGCCTCACAACCTCGGACCGTGGCCGAAATAAAGAAAAAAATGTCATTTTTTTTAATTGGGTGATTGGATGATTATTTTTTTGATTAAAAATAAATACCCATTGAAACTTCCCAAATGCAAAATGCTTATCTTCAAACAATTCAAGAAAGAGTCAAATTAATTAGATTCTTGCCACTTTAGATTCCAAAAGTACTTCCATGACTGAGAATAAAGTAGCCTTAAATTTCCCCTTCCCCTCTTCATTTTAGTTGGATGTCCTAATTCCCTGGAGTTGCCTGGAGGGTTTTTGGGGACCTGCTGATATGAACGGAGAGCAGCTCCTCTGGGCCAATCAGCGCGTGGCGACTCCTTCCCTTTAGAGCTTAAGTCCAGTAACTTTGATCCTTCCTCGACTTACTGCAGACCTCGTAAGAGCTCATTCTGACCACAAAAGAATTGAAACACCAAGTCTGACTTGTATTTTCATTTGGCATCAATTTATTTGACTTTCAGGGACAAGGAATAAGTCATTAGCATTCTGCAAAAGAGTGCTACCGTAAATCTTTCTCTGGTTAAAAGACTAAAATCATGTTAAAGAGGCAGGAGGATTCATTTGCTTGATACAGTTAGGCACAACTTTTAAATCTCTAAAGAGGATACAGTGGACTTCATACTATTAGACCTTAATACAAACACCTTTTCCTAACACCACCGGCATGCCGAGGCAAAGCACATGAACACCAAAGGTCATCTTGTGGCACCGTGTGCTATAAATTCAATGTACACAAGCTGGAACAGGATCAAATGTTTTAGCTGGTCTTATTTACAGATCAAAACACCCAGAAGTGTGCAATAATACTTAAGCCCTCAAAATGGGAAGTTTCCACTTTAATCATTTTTGTGCACAAACGAACAAAAAAACAAAAAAAAGAGGATGTGTTCTGCAAGAAAAGAGCAGTGCAAAGTAATCTCCGATTTCTTGACCTCACAACAATGCACTGCATTCATTAAAAGGTGGAATGTTGGAGATTTCAGCAAATTCATGACAGTCAAGAGATTAAGTTAAGAGAGATCAGAAATTAATTTATACTGAATAAAGCGTTAAAGTATCCGACAGACAGAAAAAAAAGAAGAAAAAAAAAACAATAATATCACACATGGAAGGTTTTGACACAGTGGACACTGCTAATGATTAGTTTGATTCCCACGAAGAAAAGAAAAAAATGCATTAACGAGGAAGTACAGGACCAGCAGCCCGAAGAAGCCCCTTGGAATGCCTCATGCAAGCGGTCGCATTGTTCACACACTGAGCGCGTGACTGTCTCTCTTCATCCCCCTTCACCGGCTACAAATAAAAACAGCTGCGTCACCAGATGCCGTTGGGTCGACGGGTGCCTCCGGTCGTGGAAGGAGGCCGGCGGGCCGCTATCCGCTCTCCTCCTTGGCGGCCTGCTCCAGCGCGCTCTCTGAGGCGGCCGAGCCCTCGAACCTCTGTGAGGCGATGGCCGCCTGGTGGGACATGCTCTTCCTCACCACGTCCCCTTTCCTCCACAGAGTGATTTCCTGCACATGGGGGAAGGAGGTTGGAGGTTTCAGGGCTCGGTGTGTTAATGCATTGATGTTGCCGTCTATTGACTCCTCATGCATGAAAAGTTAAGACTATGTCAGTAATTCTGGTGTTGTCTCTGGTGTTGTAAATCTATGTTATTATAGATATATATCAATTGTCAGAGGTAAAAAGTGAAAACCATGTTCCCAGAGCAAAGTTTTCTCAAAAGTCCAAAAAACAAAAGATATGTAATTTCTCTGCTGTTTGCGAGACAAATGACACCAAGAATTAAAGTACTGACCACATTTTTGTCAATTATTTGTTTCAGATCCAGCAGTAGTAGATTTTAGTAGGAAGTATGAAAAAGATCTCCATACTTCCTAACATTTTAGGCTGACAGGACATGATGCAGTGTGTGTGTCTGTGTGCAAGCCAATAGCTAAACTGCAAACTCAAAGTCTATGTACTCCAGGCTGCTGCGTAGATAGCATGTACTGTCGTATGGAATCAGGGATGCACCAACCATTTTTCCGACTCTTTAACTGCACTTAATGTTTCTCTTCCTCATCTTTTCCCTGCAAACACTCAGGAAACCTCTGCACATCCCAGCCTGTATTATCACACTCGGCCTGTATTATCACACTCGGCCTAACTTGGAGGTTTCTGCAGCAGCCCACCTGCTGTTTGAAGTAGCGCCTCTCCTCCTCGTCGATCAGAACCAGGTTTAGGTAGTAGCGCACTGAGAACTTCTTGTTGATGTCTCGCATGGTGGGAGTCAGATCATAACCGGCTAGAAATAACCGGATGGGAATAGACTCTCCTAAGATGGGGAAATAATCAAGTCAGGTTAGATAATATTAAGTCAATCTTGAGCTGGGACGTGTTCGTTATAACAATGAGTGAAATCACGAGTCAGCGTTGTTTACCCCTGACCGGCGCTCCGTCCATGATCTCGTACTTGGCGATTGTGTCGTTTTCGTGGTACACGCTTGGTCCGGTACCCGTCGTCTCACGCTTGATGATGTCAATCTCCATGTGTTTAATTTTAATCCTCACCAGCAGGAAATAGATTTTTCCCACAATAACATCTTTCAGATGGTACCTGTCAAGAGTAGAAATGAAGACACAAGCGGAAATGAGAGGTAAATAAGAGGTGGTTTAGTAACGGAGCACATATCAAATAATTCAGAAATGATGTGGGTGGTTGTTTTATGACTGACGCTGTCAGAGTCTCTCTGCAGTATGTGCTTGACTCTACACGTGGACACCAACGCTAACATTTTCAAAGGGCATTTAGAGATGCTGTATTTTGTTGGCTGGACATGGCACTTCATTTTTAGTAACGGATTTTCATGTTCAATCAAAACAAGCAGACCTCACCGTCAGCTGACTTTGCAATGGACAGCCTTTTTTTTTACCATTTTCAAGCATTGTACAGATTTAAAAGTTGTCATCAAGTTGTCGATCATGTGTTCAGATATTTATGAATTAATATTAATGCAATAATATTATCAGATATTATAGTAATTAATACAAAAATAAGGGCTTAATGTGGCCCTACAAGTCTTACTTGGATTTGTTGTACTCAAACTCAATGTGGAGACAATCCTCGATTCCCACTTCCATTTTAATGGAGGAGTTGAGTTCGGGGTACGTGCTCAGCGTGTGCACCACAATGTCCGTCTCTTTACTGATGTCATTTAGTCGCCTGATCACCGTGGCCCGGAGGAAATATCTGCAAACAAAAAGAGAACAAAAGCAGCTCTTTCCACGTTATCACATTGAAACCATACAACACATACTTCAAGGTAAAAGCGGCCAAGGTTGAAGGTGATAGAAGGTCACTTAAAAGTCCCTCCGCAGGGGGGAGCGAGCAATCAAAATTACCTTAGCTTGACGTTCTGGCCCGTGTACGACTCGTAGGGTTTCTCAACATGAGTGAACTCAAAGTCGAAGGTCTGCGACTGAGTTATTTCGCCCGGTCTCGCAAGATCTTTCACCAGGGAAACAAACTCATGATGGTTTCCTCTGTCGTAATACAGCTCTGAAAGAGAGAGGTTTTCAGCGAAAGCAAAACGAGAGCCATCCACTTTTGAATAATATTTACCCCAGTAAAAAGAACATTTCAAAAATACTGATGTTACCTATTTCAGTTTGGACACAGATAAAATATACTTCAATTCAAACTGGGAATATTGTCCATTATTTGCTGTTTGTAATGATTCTGGCAATTGCTGATTCCTCGTATATTTCTTTTGCAAGTGAATTATTCAATAGTATTCTGTTGCTTTCTCTACCTGAGAGGGTGTAATATTGATAGCGTTGGGTCGAGGCCCAGTTGGTTCTGCTCATATTTGACCAAATATTAAAGTGTCAGGGCTTAACAAACTATTCCATTTGCTAAAACATAAAATATGTTTTACCTGCTTCCAAAGCTAAATATGATTGTATCTATCATCAGCTAGTTACATTATAGTAAAAAATAACTGCCTATTTTTAACAAAAACCTTTCTCTCTGGCTCCTTGGATTAGCAAATACAGTTTCGCTCTTAGAAGCTGGTTTGTCTGTTTATATGAACCCGAATATCATAAAACCGTCCAAATAAAGAGGCCAAACTGTGCGTGTGAACCGGTGAACAAAAGGTCTCATTTGTGTCGCTGATGTCTATTTTCTAACGTACCTATTTGGCCGACAAATTCGATTTTGATGCCCTGGTGCTCGAGCCTCTTGCCGGGGTTCTTCAGTGTGACGTTCACCTTTCCGCCGACAGTCTCGCCATCGTAGAAAAGAAAGTATTTATCTTTCTTTCCATCTTCCGTCTTGTGTTCAGCCTTCTTTCTCGTATCCGCGTCATTCAAGACTACATCAATTTCTGCACTTTGTCCGAAACTAAAGAAACTCATCTTGTGTGAACTCTTAACGGTCACCGACTTGTTAGCAAACTAAAACAAAACAACAACAAAAAACACTGCTGTGTTTCAAAGTAAAACAGCACAAACACACAACAAGGCCTGCAGGTTCTTGTGCGACCTCAGTTCCCTTTCGGAGCAGGAAATACGTTCTGAAACGTGCAGAAAGTCGATTTTTAGATATTTTCGTGATGACTCCACATTAGCTACATGTCCACATCGACGAAACAGAATAGCAACACGACGGTGAAACGAAAACGCACAAGAATACGTCCATCGGCAGATCGGCGGTTTATTTTCTTCCTCTGCGGACCTTATGTCGCCAGTAGGTAGTCGACTGTTGCACCTTTAACACACTAATATGCTCCGTAAGGGTCACGATACTCGCTATGGGAATAATTGTTAACCGTTACATGTTTGTTTTCTGTAAGAAGAGACGGTGCATGTTGTCAAATAACCAGGATGTACGCCACCACCTGCATTGAGTTGACTACTTCCGGGTTTTTCTTTTCAAAATAAAACCCAGAAGTCTTCGAGGGAAATTTTCCAAACTACGGTCTATTTTCTAGATGAGAAGTGAGAGCTTATACAGCTTTGTCTTTGTACTTTCAACTAAGTACGGGCATTGTTAAAAGAGAAAATAGTATATATTTATTTAAAAAGCAGGAACCGGAAGTGATGCACTTTACATTAGCGGAAGTACGGCACCATGAGCAAAATACGACCGTAACCATAGATATATACATAAAGGCTAGCTGTCTCGTCCGCGTTGCCAGCCGACGGAGTAGTCGAACGTCGGCACGTGGCGGCCATCTTGGTACATTGTGCTCGCTCACATTGTGGTAGTGAAAGTCAAAGGTTATTAGACAAAACTTCTTAAACAAAATTCTCGATGTCTTTAAAGCAATTTTATTTTTGTAACCCGCTGATGGGCAGCTGATTTAAATGTATTTATACTTTTGGTCCCTGGTGAAAAAAAGTACATTCACCAAAATAGATTACTGTACTAAATTGTGTATTTATAATAGTGTGTTTTTAGTGGCTCATTAAAGCTTTTACACAATTACATCTTAATGAGTCTCAAAAAGTATAGTATCATACTAGTATAATGTAGTGTAGTGGAGACGGTAGAGAATTGTCATATTGGGTTATTGCTACTTCTTCTTAATTAAAGTATCTAAATAATGCATGCACTGCAGAGGAAGATAGATAAAATGCTGTAAACTACAACTACTGTGTAAAGACAAATGTGTCCTCTGTAAGATCATACTGTTGACAATCTCCTTTCCCAGAATATAATAATATCAAACCAGTTCAGAAATGTTGTAATGTTGTCAGACATTTAACTTGTCCTTTCTCAAGATCAATTGGACACATGGCCACAACATTTAGAATTCAAACGCATTTAATAGTAACAAAAGAACAAGAACTTAAAACATTAATATATCAAATGAACAGTGGACATTTTACAACAGTTCCTGAGTTGTTACACAAATCATTGACACTAATGTTTGAAATGACAGGCTCAACACTGCAGATACACACGGAACAGTGAATACTGTAAATGTATTTCCAACAAATGTTTCTTTGCAGTATTTACAATAAGGTTCGGATTGCAATATATGCTAATCAAAAGATCAAAGATGTATGTATTTATGTACATCAAATACTGAGTAAAAACCGGACAATGTGTCCAATACTCACAAAATAATTAGTAAAGCATAGAAGGTCACTTATACACAGAAACCGCACTCTAAAATCATACTTTACCATCTTTATAGTACATATTGACTTTGCAGCATAGTGGGATATATGTTGTTTGAAACTCACGTTTCACTGCACTCATATAGAGTTGTTATCATCTGTGAATATAATAAAGGCTAATAAATTGTGCCTCATGAATCTGAGCTCATCAGTCTTTTACAGTCTGCTGCTTATTGCCTGTATAACGACAGTATGTACAAAAACAGTTAAACAGTAACAACTTATCCCCATGTGAAAAAAATAATACAATTTTATCTCATGAAAAATATAATGTAAATGAGTTATGTAAAATAAGTGTGCTCAGTAAAAAGTTTAAGAGTTTTGTTCAAAAAACGTGGAAGGAATGTAGCTTTTAGCATCTTTTGCCTTGACACCATGGGCCAAATATCCAATTCCACAGCTTTGAAATGGTTTTAATGTATAATATAAATATTGTGGCAAAAGAGTTAAAACAAACAAAACATGGAGTGAATTTCTTTTGTAAATAGAATGTAATATTAACAGGAAAAAAATGCTATCACACTATAAAAAACAACAAAAACAAAATTATATAAAAATTACTTTGGCAAGTTTGTTGATTTCATTTTGATGTGCATCCAAGAATAATGTGCCATGTTACCCCTCAAACTTTACCATCTGGAAAATCATTGTAGCAATTCAACCTCAACAGTTTTTTGCTTTTGTCTTGGTTTCATCTTGTCCTCCTTCTCTGCTGTCAAATGATGAATGAGGACTTATGGCGGAAATGGCCCTGGGAAAAACAGGGATTATTAAAAATGTTTGCAAAACTGACCGTTAATGGCTTAAATTTGAAATCAGTGAGCCATAGTGATACACATAGTGTGTATCCTCGGCAGCTTCTGTTTACCTCATCTGCATCGGCATATTCAACGGCATCATTCTGTGCTGGCCAGTTGAAGCTGAAATTAACATAAAAAACATGATCAAATAAAAAAACAAAAATATGGCTTATCTTGTTCTTCAGATATTTTACTCACTTATTTTCATTGAGGCCTTTTTTGGAGAGGCATCCATGTTTAAGGCAATGACAAAGGAAAGCACCAAAAGACAAGAGAACAGTCACCACACCACACACCTTGAGGAAAATCCCGAGGATGTCGACGTCATCTGCAACGGGACACAGAGGTGATGTTCACAGTGTTAGGGGGCCCGAGAGACGTCGGTGCGTTCATTATGATTATATGTATTTAATATGGGGCTGAAATCATCAATATATTAATAGTTACACTGATAAACCAGCCTCCAAGTAAAGATATCAAACATTTAATTCTGATTCCTAGAAAGCATTACGACACGCAAAGCTCACTACACAAGGGAAGAAAGACAGCATTACAATAAACTCTTAGATCTTGGATGTAGAACAGTGACTCTGACGTGTTGACACTCACAGACTTCCATCGTTTGTGAGGGACACTGTGCATGTCCGGCATCATTCTTTGCTTGGCAGTAGTACTCCCCTGCGTCCTCCTTCCTCACCCATCGAAATTTCTGAGTAGACATTTTTAGATATTTTTTCAGTGCAATGACTGACAGCTGCATTGTCAACAAACTGCTGAAGGATGCTTCACTGTGGATACATTCTTGTGACATTTCTTGAAGCCAGAGTCAAAGTGTAGTAACATTTTATCATATGGAAGCGTGTTTAGTAAGAAATATCTTGTCTCTTGTTATTCAAAGTAATACATAAAACACATGGAATCGGTTTTGGGTGTAACATTATCGTCCTTGCATATGCTGGTTTCATATGCCGGCTTAGGGCTACCAAACTAAATTTAGTTGTATTACAACAATGACAATAAAAACAACTTAAAAAGAAAAAGGTTTTGCTTTACATGACTGCATTGATTTGACTGAGGTAGAGTTTGATTTAAAGTTGATTTTTAATACTAGTAGTAGTAGTAACACCCTAGTATGTACTGTAGTTTGTTGCCATTTCTTCAATGCTAGTTTTGTGCAGGCCATGAAAACTTGAATAAACACCCCACATCCTGTGTCTCTCTCACCAAGCTTCCGGTGTCAGGGTTGATGCTGTATGAAGAGTTGACCAGCTTGGGGCTGATTTTGGGGTCCTGAGGAAGCTCCTCACTGTTGTGGAACCAGCGGTACTGAGGAGCAGGGAAGCCCTCGTTCTCCAGACATCGCAGCTCGGTCGATGTTCCAACCGTGACTGCCTCTGGCACGCTGCACCGCGGTACGACAGGTTTCACTGCACACAGGCACAGATCAATCACATGAATATGGATATGAATCAATCACTTGAAGCACAAGATGTCTCAAACTTGCAAATAAGCATTACAGGTTAGCCGAGTGATGACTTAAAAGGATTGATAAGGCAGTCTAGGAAATACACAACACAGGTGATAAAGATGTTGCTTAATTATAATATATAAAGCTAATTGTACCATAAGAATGGGAAATATTTTGTACTCTTCAAAAACAATTGTGTCACAATAAAAGCATAAAGTAGCAAGGAAGATTAAAAATAAGGAAAAACAACAACAGAAAAAACAGTGTCAAAAAAGAAAAGAATCTGTAAAAAATAACCAGAAAAAAAACAAAAACAAAACGCCGCCCTTTATCTTAATTGGATCTCTGAGAACAAACAGTAAACAATGGTTATCCTCACCTGAGAGACTTTACGTTACTGCATGGAAACAACAATTCAGGAATGTACGTAGGTTGAACTCGGGGCCTTCATTGTGCTGCTAGTTGGTCTCGCTGTTTTCCCTTGCTTTATCCTATGCTAAGCTAATCGGCTGCTGGCTGATGTTATATATTAAGCAAAATCTGTCAAACTATCCCTTTGATATAAAAGGCCAAAGACGTTGGTTCTTTTTAAATATGAACTGAACATTCTTTTCATTATCCTCAAGAATGCAGATGAAGATTTGCTGAAAGTCTTCAATTCAAAGGCAAATGCGGTACGAGCTCACCATACCTCTCACTGCAAGACTAATCAGTATCTCATCAAAGTCCCTTTGATCATCGATGGCGGCCACCTCGCAGCGGTACTCGGCTGTGTCCGACCGACTGGTGTTGAAGATCACGATGTTGGCTGGCTCTCTGAGCTGAGCTCTGTGCTCCAAGTCCCCTTTCAAGAGAGGAACGGGGGGAAAAAAACACTTTACAGTTGCTCATTCACATACACAGCGTGACTTCACAGTGCAGAAAAACTGAATTCAATGCCAAGTTCTTTCAAGGTACCATTGATTCTGCTGAGCTTTGAGTGCAGTACTTTAGAAATACTGGTTGACGGGGGGTTTTAAAAAAGGGAGAGCTCGCGGGCGGCTTACCTGCTATTCTGTTCTGAAAGTACACATAACTGGGGATACCGTTCTTAATCTTTTTCCATTCGATCCTCGGGTTGTTTGTGGATATGGACTCTATCAAACAGGTCAGTTCGATGGCTGTGGGGGAAACAGAATGCATCAGGAAAAGAAAAGCTACTTTAGCTAAATAGGTTTGAGTGATTCTCCAGCGACTTACGCTCAAACTCATTTGCCCAAACAATCTTGTCTGTGGTCCGGAGGATTACCCCGAGCGAGGATGGTATGTGGCCTGTGAAAAAGAGAATGCTGAGTAACCCTGATGGCCCACTAAACACAGACAATTTCATTAGCAGACATTATCAACTGGGCATGTTTCCTGATGTGGATTAGAGTGATAAATATAGACCCTCTCAGAAAGCCTTGATTTGGAGTAAACATTTCTTATTAATATCTTCCCTTCTCTGTTTAAGAGGATTAATACCTAGGGCCAAAATTTGTTTTCACATGCATTTTTAATGAGTGTGTGTGCTGCACACTACAGGCTTTAAGAAATAACTTACTCTAGGAAATGAATATTCTGACATTATTTGATGTGCGTTTTTTATAATGGTTCATTTAATAATAATGTGGTTGGTGATGAAACATTGAGTGGGAGAGCTTTAAATGTTAATTCTCTGGAATGAAAATGTGTTTATTGTTTTAGCTTTACTCTTGTGCCCTGCATTTTAAATGGGACCCCACTGAAGTTAAAATGCTGAGTCTCAGCTCTTCAGTTTTTTGTTTGACACACCCTGGAGAGTCAGTGTGAGAGGACCTTTCTGCATCGTCCCTCTGGTTTCAGGACAATGCAGCAAGACAATAATCATAAGCACACAAGGCAAGGCAACCACTGCGCTTTTTAAAAGCCCAAATGAATCGTCACAGTCTGACTGAGCATTTGTTTCAATCCACAAAGACTGAAGGTGAAAAGCTCCTGAAACAAGTTGAATCTCAAGATATTTTCCTGTGAGAATGTATAAATAAGGGGTTTCAAATGTGTATGAGAATCTCTGAGATCGATGAGAACTTTATGTGGCGTTTATTGGTTTTCGTTTGTTAGCAGTACTCGATATACTGCACGTACACAAGGGTCTTCATTTATGTAACCACAGACCCCCGTAACGAGAAGCAGACTAACGGAAAGAAGTAAAAATAAAGACAATGCTCTCAGACACAGATTGGACGTTGGTGATCTAACTTCTGTCAGAAAACAAATCTGATGTTAGAATATGACCGTATGCATCACTAGTTTCTGGGTGACGATGTCCCTCCGAGGAACAGCTGGAATTGGTCGCTGATGTGGCACTCATTAGAGCAGAAAGCCTAAAACATTACAAGACCTCGGATTTATTTAATTTATTTTCAAGTTAAGTAAAAAAGCTTCTTTGCTAAAATTATGACACTAATTAACACTGAGGTTTATAGGATAAATAATTTATCAAAATCCCTAAACAAAACAATCCACAAGCACTAAAATAACTTGACAGTGGGAATGTGCTTAAATTTGAAGCATATTTAATCAACCGTCCTCTTCCCTCCGGCACAACAACACATGCGATATACTTATTTTATGTTGCGTGCTTCAGTGCACTTCTTAAAGCATTCAGTTATTTTGAAAATGTCAGACTGTAATGGCAAGGGACATTATTCACAAGTTTTGTCCAACTTGAGCCAGCAGAATGCCAATTTAAGCGGAAAATAAGCGAGCAAAGGGTGTGGAGACAACAAATAAAAAAAAACCCAGTACACATAATTCCACAATTTGCCCGATAAGTACGTGTGTTTCACCTTCCACTGGTACCCTACACTCAACCTATTGTGTCTGTGCCACTTGCAAATGCAATAATCACTGGGTACACATGCGACTAACAGCCCCCATGCTGGGTAATGAAGGCATTATCGCTCCCAGTGGAGGCAGCGTGAGGCCTTTCAAATGAAGGATGAAATTCGAGAACAATAATTATCCGAGACACCCCCTGCTGTTTGCCAGAGACACGGTGCACTTTGACTCACTGTGTATTAATTGTAACGGCTAACATATAGCCGCGGCTCGGCCTGAACGTGATGGAGATGCGAAGGCATAAGCACAGCTGCTGGACACTGATGAGCTCTGACTTCCAAGTCTCAGCTTCCGTCTCCGTTGCTGACTTTCCCACCCTGTACATCCAGAAGCTATTTATAGCCCAGCTGTGACTGAACATCCCATGAGACACAAGGAGAGCCCGTCCAACAAACGCTCCCTCGGCATATGTGAGACGGAGTGTCAAGGGTTGTCTTTCTACAACGGAGGCCGAAGCGTCCACCATGCTGCAGGTTTGTGAACAAGGAGGACGACGCAAACACCACGGCGCAAAAAAAGGATCTAGAACCACAAAAAAAAAGCCTGGAATTTTATGGATTGCCACATCGATGTGTGTAATGTGTTATTCTAGGTTTACAGCACATTATCTTTACTAATTGAGTTTTGCTGAAGCATTCTGTAACTCTTGATAAATACTCTTTGGGGGTGACCTTTGTTATATGTCATCCCCCCCCTTCCCTCTTTGGCAAAACATTACCGAAAAAATCTCTTCTATAAATACAGTTTTCAGTCCTTATTATTCGCAACAAATGATAACTCATAGTGAGAGTCGCAGTATGATTCAAGCATACATTAGTAAACAAAAGGGAAAGACCAACTGCACAAGGAGGAACCCTTTTTGGGCCGTGGGAAAGTGCAACCAGACGATTAACATGACAATATGTAGCTAATTAATAATACGAGATTATCATAAAAACATTCACACAACAATGGTTGGTCCCACGGTGACACAATCTAGGTTAAAAGGAAACAATATTTTGGAATTTTTCTATTAATCTGCGCTTTTGCTGGCAAACACAGGCTCACACTTAATCCCAATGTTTTTTCTAATGAATAGACAAAGTGGGTCTATAGTCTGTTCTGAGAGAAATATCCTATTAAATGGCCACATTCTACAATCTTCTAATGCACTAAATATAAAAGCGTCCCCCCCCTGCCCATCCCCGAAACAAACAAAATAAATGTTGAACCAGTGCATCTATAAAAAGCATTTTTTCCAGACATTCCAGAGTAGTCGCTGCAAATATGCTGAAGGCCGAGTTAGCAAGACACAAGGAGAGGTGCGCGGAGCCCGACTAAGATCCACTGCATACCGAGGGGGATGTGTGCCATATTTAATCCCCCCAGCAGATCAGTATGAAACAATCATGTTTTCTACGAAGAAAACATTGTTTTCGAAAAGCATCGAAGCCACTGGTGAGGAAAGAAGGAAAGAAGGCCTCCACTGAAGGATCCTAGAGTAAATAAAGAAAGAGATATCAACATTCTCCAAGATACTAAATATGCCTCACTTTCTGACTCTGGGACAAATGGGACACCCAGGGTACGGGGGCCAGGAGTTGAATATTGAATGAATGTCGAATAATAGCTGCAAACAATGAGTCAATTCATTTGTTTTCTCGACTCAGCCGGTAGGTCGTTCCATGTAACAATATATTGTGTTAGAAATTGTTCTACAGAACCATTCATTGATCAATTAAGAAAATAAACGCCAATTGCAGCCCTGGTGTAACATTATACAAACCTCAGTTAGAGCTATACTGATGATGATGATGATGAAGTGTATAAATATATAATACTGTCCTAACCTTCATGCAAAAACATTTTGTCTTAATTAAACTAAATTATTTAAATGTAAATGTGCAAGTTGTATGAAGCATAAATTAAACATCATGATTAAATTATCTAAATCTAAAGGCAGACCCTGTCTATCGCCCGAAGTTGGCTGGGATGGACTCCAGCCCCCCCGCGACCCTGTGTGCAGGATAAGCGGTTTGACAATGGATGGATGGATACAGGCAGACTGAAGCTCGCTTTCAGAATTTCACACAATCAACATTAATCTAAAAATGTGAATCCTTTCTGCTGCTGTTATGGCAATAAGCTACATTTACACCACTGAGTTTCCTAACCAAATCACACCATGTGAAGAAAACGGCATATGGTCGCTTAGTCATTTGATTCACACTCGCGGAGGAGCTGGGTCGAAAGTTCAACACTTACTAATGCAATCTGCCATTTGGAAATAACTCACTCCGCTGCCAACTTTCATCCAACAGCAGGGTGACCTCCCCACTAAGTGCACACAAGCACCAGGGGGTGGATGGAATACAACATATCAACCCAGCATCCGCTACATTGATCGCCTCTAAAGCTCCAGCTGCTGCTGTTGTTGTTGTTGTTGTTCTTGGGTAGGAACGACAATGAGGTGTGTCATCTCCAACTCACCGCGTCTGACTCTTTTCATTTTCAACCACACTCATCATCGTCAATCGGGGTCAGGTGTCCATTAACGGTTAGCTCACACACTCTTGGATGTGACCGGCCGGTTGGAGTGACGGCGCTGGGACGGCTCACTGGTCTCAACGTGTGGGTCAGTGAGGGTGCTGTGATTTCAGGCTCACGCACACAGTGCAGTAGATGCGTGCTGGTTGACATGATCTTTCGGGGGACTGTAGGCTTTCTGGTACCCTTTTGTTTTGTGGCTGACACGACAGGAACCGTTACGTTACCATGTGGTTGCTTTTTCTTTCACCCAAAGTAATGTTTTTATTTGTTTTTTTTATGATAGAATTGTCCTCATAATTACCCGCCAATGACAAATAAATACACAAACTGGTGCTGAGACTTCTCTACAATTAAGCAACACAAGGACAACCAGTAATAATAACGTTGAAATCTGATTGAAATGAGATCTGAACGTCTAAAACCTCATTTTAACGCCTTTTCCACCGGCTAAAAATGTGGTGTTTTGTTGGAACGTCAGGTTGAAAGACAGACCATATTATCATTTAGATTTTCATTTAAATCAATGAACTGGTCGGCAAAATTGGGTCTACGCCAAGATGTGATTTCATTCAAATGTCATGAATATGAAACTATAGAATGCGTGCTGTTATGAAGATGCTTTACAATGTAGGCACTCTTGACTTTTCTACACAAGAATCGTCGAGCGACGATGGGGGTGATGGAGCGGATTTTGGGTACACTGAGCATCCAAATATAGCAACTCAGACTAAGTGAACCAGATCTTGATGTTACAGAATCTGATTTTGAAGATGGAAGTTTCAAGTCAATTCAAAGATTTAGAAAATTGGGGTACAAACAGCAACCAACACACAGAAATGTAAACAAACTTCTCCATGTTCTTAGTTTCCTGCAGTTATAATTCCATAGTTAATTTTCCCTTAAATATATTTTAATTTTATTTTTGTATTCTGCTTTTATCTGAGAAAAATTTGTGTACACTATATTTATGTTGTTTATTAACAAAGACGAATGAAAATGTAGACGTTGAACAGTCGTTTGGCCGTAAACTTACAAATGAGGACATCGTTTCGTTCTAAACCTCTAAAATAATGACACAACACTTAGCACAAAGTAGAGGTTGAAACATTTTCGTTTTAAAGACCACATTGCAATCTGGACTAAACGTGAACGTCTTTACAAAACAAAGCCTGCAAAGACGTTGACAAAACTTTCACTTTCGAACCAACGTCTTTTAAGGGAAAAACGCTCGCGCGGATGCTAACGCAACGCTTGCTGTGCACGGCTCTATGCAGCAAACAGTGAAATGCTCTTAAAACTACGCCATTTATTTTTGAATGGTCAATTCTCACAACAGCAAACGTGACGTTATACTGTTGAGGGGAAAACACAAGGTAGAAAAAGACCCCCCCCCCTCTCCTCTCCGTCTAAATATCACCGCGCGACGCACGGCGTGACGATATTAAGCGTTCTTGACAATTCGCAACCTGTTCGTGTCAAGCTAACATCTGTGCTGCCGCGTTAGCATTGACAGATCCGACGGGGCTGAGATTTAAGGCGGTTTACAGTTGCCGCACCTCGTTCGTGCACGGCGACAGTTGCCATAACGGCATTTGTTGGAAGGGCAGATTTAACTTACCGAAGCCGGTGCACAGAAGCAAACAAGCCACGAGCCGCGTAATCGCCATCTTGCAGCCTCTCGGTTATCGGTTACAGTTGCACACACTCAGCACCTCTGAGAGGTATGAGGATGGGGGGCAGAGCAGACTGGTGGATGTTGCCATCGACGAGTTTCCATAGCTACAAGCGCATGGGAGGATTTCGCCCTCAGCTGTGTCTGACAGGCAGTGGGCGGGGCCTGATATGTACTCTCAACCTCCCTCCAACAATGTTCACGTATATTATATATAATATATACGTATGTATATATATATATATATATTTAAAGGGGAATCATTTTAAGAACTGATTTAGCAACAAGTTGGAATGTAGAGGGACATTATTTTATTTTAAGCCTCATGACCTTTGCATTGTATGGATTTAGGGTTTTTCCTGAATTCATAACTGTAAATGGTATGTAAGAAGTAAAAAAATCAAACAATGAAACATTTTACACGGATATACAAGAAAGTGTATCAGGTTGTAAAGAATTTGAAAGCCCCTTATCCAAGACTGGATCACAAACTATGTTTGGCCATCAACTGACCTGTGACCCTAAATGCTCCTAAATCTTGATTTACAGGTCAGGTTGTCATGTTGGGGCTTTTTTAAAATTAAAATAGTATTTTTAGACCTAAACATATATATATATGGTAATGCATACTATTAAGAATGCATTGCGTAAGTTTTTTAACGTATTTTTTAAAATCTATTTAATTAATTTCTATCAATGTTCCTTACTGTTTGTAAATCTCCTTGCGTTATGTTTGGATGTCTTTAATGGTTTTATATGAAACACTTTGACTTGTTGTTGAAACATTACACATAATGTTGGCGGTACAAAAGATGCTTTAAGAACAGTACTAAAGTCACTGTACTGTACAGCAACCATCATTTGCGAAAGCATGCTGCCTGAAAGACAAAATTTGGGGCTTCAGTAGCATGACGCTACAAGGGCATCAGGTCTCAGACCAAAGGACCGTTTACAGAAAGGATCTGCTAATCATAGTGCCATGCAAACAATTTCCCCTTTGGACTGGTGCTCATTTCCAATGCTTCACCAAAACTACTGATGGTGCAAAATGCAAAATTGAACACATCAGCGCAGTATTTTATCATGCCTGAATTTTGCATGGAAATAGAGGACTCCTCTTTAAGTCTGTCTATACTTCAGTGCTGACCCATCTACATTTAAATTAATGTAAATGATCGCCAGTTGCGTCTATTTTAATTGGTTACAGTAGATGTAGCAGCTGGTTAGTTTCCAACAAATAAACAGCAGGTGGCAGTGAAACACCAAAGATAATATCAGCTGGAACCAACCCATTTCACCTTCTTAAGTAAATGTTTGAGCAATAACGGTGGAAATATTAAATGTGGGCACTTTTGTGATTCTTCAGTCAACCTGCTGTTGCATAGGTCACACAAAAACAGGTTCAGAATAAACTATGTTACAGTAAACTAAACTAAAGGTTTTACTCCAATTCATCCTCTACGACATACAAAAAGAAGAAAAAAGGGGGAAATACAACAATTGAATATCCTACCTTGTTTTAATCCTTCTGCATCATCACATCCTCCTCCGCTGTTCCTGTGATGAATATATGTTGCTAAGCAATCATTCCTCTGCTGCATGGCCCTGCTGGCTGAACCTTTGTCTCTCCTTATAGACATCTCTATACCATAGTTTTTGTAGTGTAGTTTTTTAGTAATTGGGTCGCACATTTCAGGTCATTTTTGACCTAAGAATATTTGGGCCCAAACTCTGAAATAGTACATAGTAGTGTTCAGCTTCAGTCAACAGACGTGAATATCATTCAGTCAGATTAATGACACCAGTGCTGTAAGCGTTATATATGGCCTATAAACCCATTAATATCCTTTTCTATGTGGTTGTTTGTACCTCTTTTCATCATTTTGCACACTGAATGTATATCTTTCCCAGATATGAAGAATGCAGCACCGTTGTTTCGGGATTTAATTTCCACTCGTCTATCTGCTCTCAAACCCAGGAGCCCTTTTCCTTTAAGCTTGACAGACAGATCTAACACCAACTAAGCTATTTAAGGTATGCACTGTGTTGAAATAAGTGCAGGATATGAAAGCACAGCAGCCTGTATTATTATGCAAAATCGACAGTAAAATGAAACTGCAAATTTTCTTTCACAAAAAGAATATATATTTTTTCCAATAAGTGCTGACATCTACACCAGTTTACAGTATAATAAGAAACAGAATGCAGAGATTTCCAATGTGCTGCAGTATAAATGAAACAGCTGATGTTTGGATATTTGTGCAGCATGTGAACTAAAGCTTCATAGACACATTAGGTTGGATTCAACATTGTGATTTTCACCTTTTAACATCACAAATGGTATTGTCTGTCATCCGGACCTGCCTCATTCCCTCTCATCCATCCATCATGGATATAGTTTCAGCAAGAGCCAAGCTTACAGCGTCCTATGCAGAGTGATTACTATTTTATCTGTCCCCACCACTCTGTATTTACTTGTAATTTGCAGCCAGTGTGTGACTCCGTATTGCTCAGTGGGACGCAGTGATGGTGTCCTTAAGCCTATCTCAAGCAACATGAGAGCTAGTTTATGTAACAGGTCACTAAACAACAATTAGTGGTGGAAGAAGTATTCCTATAACACAATAATAATACCACCACACTGAGGAAAGAGTCTATTGCAAGTCCAGCATCCACATTTTTAATAAAATAAAAGAACAGAAGTATCACCAAGGACATGTACTCATTATTTGGAAGGAAACCGGTCAGTGTGTGTTATTTATTATGTTTTTCAGATATATATGACCTTTTTCCTCCCATCCTCATTGAACCTGTTTATACTTTATTTGTTCTATCGATCAAACTGAAGACGTAAAACTTCAATTGCTTTTGTTGTTGATGTAATGTGATTATAAACTGGGTATTTGTTTTCTACAGTAGCTGGGGTATATAGCAGTCTGTATCTTTGTATTAGCAATGTAACTTATGCAATGCTGTTTATATGGTTCACTAATTTTACAATTATATAGAACATGCTGTAAGTAACAAATGCATACAATTTGGTTTGATGAGCTTTATGGACTTATACACTCTCAGATGCTCTAATTGTCAGAATCACCAGTAACTGTTAACAACCCATTACCCAGGTAAGCTGTACCTTCATTGTATCATTGATGAGTTTCCAACCCTACAGTTGTGCAGATTCCCTTTACATTTCCGCCTAATATCATATGTTTTCGGATCATATCGGCCTGATTCTAATATATATATATAGCTTATCACCATAGTGTCATCTTTAATTGAAATTAGTGAATGTAATCAGTGTGTAGACATCAGCGGGTAATTGGTGGTAGCTTTAATTAACGAAATAAAGAAAGGTTCTAACCTAGGTAGCTACAGTAGTATTAAACCGTTGGGAATAGCTTTTACAGATCAGCTGGCTGGCAGACTGACATAGTTTGGGTTTCCAAGCACTGCAGAGACTGTTTTTATTGGTTACAATGGAATTAAGTCTTTGAAAGTCATCACATTGCAAACACAAGACTAAATATGCCCTGTGTATTTCTGTCGAATGCACACACAAACCCACACACATTCTCCCTATATGCCACAGAAATTGCACTCTTCTTTTTCTTGCTCAAGAGATGCTGTTGACGGAGTCCCACCCACAGTGAATTTCATCAAATCCAGGGGCTAAATGGCGCTGTGATGCCCTGCAGAACAAGAGTCAGAAATGAGCAGGCACTGCATCTACAGCTCAATTAGCACCATGGTATTAATAGCTTTCACAAGTGAGCTGAAAGACGGCTTAAAGCACAGAAGAGAAAATTATTGTTGCTTTGTTTCAGCGCTAACTTTCCTTTTGCGTGATTATTGGATTTATTATTTTTATATATTTTAGGTGCTATCCAAGTGTAAATTGCCTAAACTAGTACATATAAAAATGGGGACGGGACGGTAAGATGCTGGTGATTAAAAGCATCAGCAATGCAAAACATAGAAGCTATATTTGTATTCCACTTAACCAACAAAGAGCTCTAATTCTGGCAGTTATCTATGTAGAGAGTGACTGGAGACCATGGCAACCATACATGATAGCTCCATCTAATTGGGTTCAACAACATAATTTAATGTGTTTGATGGGCACACTGAACAGTAACCAGCTAGTCCCTGTAATTGTATTCCAGAAATGATGTGCAAATTGTCAGAAAGTAACGTGGTCCTTCCAATTTTTCACTTTCTGGGGTGAAACAGCATCCAGAAGAACTGCAGCGGTTCATTACTCTAGAAAAACAAAGCATGGCACTTTACTGCTCCCATATTTCCTGCACAGATGAACCATGGAGGTGGGCTGTTCGCAAACTCCACTGATGACCACTGAACATGACAAGGGATTCTCATCTGAGGAGTGATGCGGAAAATGAAAGTGACACGAAGCCCTAAAGCCCTTCTGCTAACACAACGTATGTGTCATTCAGAGGGGCTGCTTCACAAACAAATGGAGACAAAATGAGGGTGAATACACTGGACGTTTTTCAGTCCTGGAATCTGAATATCAACACAACAATATGCTTTTGTTTTCTGAGGACAAATTGGGATGTACGATATGTAGCCAGGAAGTAACTACAACAGTAAACTTGGGGTATCTAATACGTTAAGTGACCATGTCTAATTCCATGTAACTTTTACATTTTATATCAGAATATGTTGAAAGAGTAGCCGCATGGCCATCTAAACAATGTACAATATGTATGCTGTCAGAGTTAAAGGATTCTCAAAACATTTCACAATAAACAGCAGAGAAAATCAAAATCAAAAACTAAAAGTTATTAGGGTTATTAGAGAAAAGCATCAAATTATTGCAATTGACAAGATGAACCCAGCAAAACATCACTTTTTATGCTGGAAAGCAATACAGCTTGTACACCGGCCGATTCCTCCTGTTGATCGATGAGAGTAATTTCAGCTCCAATCACAGAAAAACAGAAAAAAGTAAACGGTGGAAAGGAATATTTTTACATCACTCCAGTCCTCTCCTGCGTTTAGAAGGAAAACCACAGATAAAAACTAAGGCTTGCATCTTGCGTAGGACAGTGCTGACCACTACTGGAC